GGAAGATTTGGAGCCGTAACAGTTGTATGTTAAGTATGCATATCTATATCTCTATATATAATTACTCAATATAAATAAATGAATAAATGAATATAAGGAAAAAATATTACCAATTAATATATTTACCAATTAGGTTAATACGTGAATATGGAAACAATATTACAAATTAATAAATTTTAATTAATTTCTATTTTACATTTAGTTACCAAATAAGTTTTACTACAAAAGTTTGGGCGGGAAAATGAAATAGGAGGATTTTACTTTTATATATATATAGATATAGATATATAGATTAGAATAGAATTTTAACGCAGAATTATTGTACGAATGGGAAAGTAGAAATCAATATATTTTATTAGGAAGAGAGATTTATAAGGAATTGGGCGGGAAGTTAAAATTTCAGGATTTCGTTTTTATATATAGTATAGATTATATTACACTATTTTATAATATTATAATAGAATTTTAACGTAGAATTATTATACGAATGGGAAAGTAGAAATCAATATATTTTATTAGGAAGAGAGATTTATTAGGAATTGGGCGGGAAGTTAAAATTTCAGGATTTTGTTTTTATATACAGTATAGATAGTATAGATTGTATTACACTATTTTATAATATTAGAATAGAATTTTAACGCAGAATTATTGTACGAATGGGAAAGTAGAAATCAGTAGATTTTATTAGGAAGAGAGATTTATTAGGAATTGGGCGGGAGGTTAAAATTTTAGGATTTTGTTTTTATACATAGTATAGATATTGATTGTATTACACTATTTTATAATATTAGAATAGAATTTTAACGCAGAATTATTGTACGAATAGGAAAGTAGAAATCAATATATTTTATTAGGAAGAGAGATTTATTAGGAATTGGGCGGAAAGTTAAAATTTCAGGATTTTGTTTTTATATATAGTATAGATTGTATTACACTATTTTATAATATTAGAATAGCATTTTAACGCAGAATTATTGTAGGAATGGGAAAGTAGAAATCAATATATTTTATTAGGAAGAGAGATTTATTAAGAATTGGGCGGAAAGTTAAAATTTCAGGATTTTGTTTTTATATATAGTATAGATTGTATTACAGTATTTTATAATATTAGAATAGAATATTAACGCAGAATTATTGTACGAATGGGAAAGTAGAAATCAATATATTTTATTATGAAGAGAGATTTATTAGGAATTGGGCGGGAAGTTAAAATTTCAGGATTTTGTTTTTATATATAGTATAGATAGATTGTATTACACTATTTTATAATATTAGAATAGAATTTTAGCGAAGAATTATTGTACGAATGGGAAAGTAGAAATCAGTAGATTTTATTAGGAAGAGAGATTTATTATGAATTGGGCGGGAGGTTAAAATTTCAGGATTTTGTATTTATACATAGTATAGATATAGATTGTATTGCACTATTTTATAATATTAGAATAGAATTTTAACGCAGAATTATTATACGAATGGGAAAGTAGAAATCAATATATTTTATTAGGAAAAGAGAGATTTATTAGGAATTGGGCGGGAAGTTAAAATTTCAGGATTTTGTTTTTATATATAGTATAGATTGTATTACAGTATTTTATAATATTATAATAGAATTTTAACGCAGAATTATTGTACGAATGGGAAAGTAGAAATCAATATATTTTATTAGGAAGAGAGATTTATTAGGAATTGGGCGGAAAGTTAAAATTTCACGATTTTGTTTTTATATATAGTATAGATTGTATTAGACTATTTTATAATATTAGAATCGAATTTTAACGCAGAATTACTGTACGAATGGGAAAGTAGAAATCATTAGATTTTATTAGGAAGATAGATTTATTAGGAATTGGGCGGGAGGTTAAAATATCAGGATTTTGTTTTTATATATAGTATAGATTGTATTACACTATTTTATAATATTAGAATAAAATTTTAACGCAGAATTATTGTACGAATGTGAAAGTAGAAATCAATATATTTTATTTAGAATCGAATTTTAACGCAGAATTATTGTACGAATGGGAAAGTAGAAATCATTAGATTTTATTAGGAAGAGAGATTTATTAGGAATTGGGCGGAAGGTTAAAATTTCAGGATTTTGTTTTTATATATAGTATAGATTGTATTACACTATTTTATAATATTAGAATAAAATTTTAACGCAGAATTATTGTACGAATGGGAAAGTAGAAATCAAAATATTTTATTATGAAGAGAGATTTATTAGGAATTGGGCGGGATGTTAAAATTTCAGGATTTTGTTTTTATATATAGTATAGATTGTATTACACTATTTTATAATATTAGAATAAAATTTTAACGCAGAATTATTGTACGAATGGGAAAGTAGAAATCAATATATTTTATTATGAAGAGAGATTTATTAGGAATTGGGCGGGAAGTTAAAATTTCAGGATTTTGTTTTTATATATAGTATAGATTGTATTAAACTATTTTATAATATTAGAATAGAATTTTAACGCAGAATTATTTTACGAATCGGAAATTAGAAATCAATATATTTTATTAGGAAGAGATATTTATTAGGAATTGGGCGGTAAGTTAAAATTTCAGGATTTTGTTTTTATATATAGTATAGATTGTATTAAACTATTTTATAATATTTGAATAGAATTTTTACGCAGAATTATTGTACGAATGGGAAAGTAGAAATCAATATATTTTATTAGGAAGAGAGATTTATAAGGAATTGGGCGGGAAGTTAAAATTTCAGAATTTTGTTTTTATATATAGTATAGATAGATTGTATTACATTATTTTATAATATTAGAATAGAATTTTAACGAAGAATTATTGTACGAATGGGAAAGTAGAAATCAATATATTTTATTAGGAAGAGAGATTTATTAGGAATTGGGCGGGAAGTTAAAATTTCAGGATTTTGTTTTTATATATAGTATAGATTGTATTACAATATTTTATAATATTTGAATAGAATTTTAACGCAGAATTATTGTACGAATGGGAAAGTAGAAATCAATATATTTTATTAGGAAGAGAGATTTATTAGGAATTGGGCGGAAAGTTAAAATTTCAGGATTTTGTTTTTATATATAGTATATATTGTATTACACTATTCTATAATATTAGAATAGAATTTTAACGCAGAATTATTGTACGAATGGGAAAGTAGAAATCAATATATTTTATTAGGAAGAGAGATTTATTAGGAATTGGGCGGGAAGTTAAAATTTCAGGATTTTGTTTTTATATATAGTATAGATTGTATTACACTATTTTATAATATTAGAATAGAATTTTAACACAGAATTATTGTACGAATGGAAAAGTAGAAATTAATATATTTTATTCGGAAGAGAGATTTATAAGTAATTGGGCGGGAAGTTAAAATTTCAGGATTTTGTTTTTATATATAGTATAGATTGTATTACACTATTTTATAATATTAGAATATAATTTTAACGTAGAATTATTGTACGAATGGGAAAGTAGAAATCAACATATTTTATTAGGAAGAGAGATTTATTAGGAATTGGGCGGGAAGTTAAAATTTCATGATTTTGTTTTTATATATAGTATAGATTGTATTAGACTATTTTATAATATTAGAATCGAATTTTAACGCAGAATTATTGTACGAATGGGAAAGTAGAAATCATTAGATTTTATTAGGAATTGGGCGGGAGGTTAAAATATTAGGATTTTGTTTTTATATATAGTATAGATTGTATTACACTATTTTATAATATTAGAATAAAATTTTAACGCAGAATTATTGTACGAATGGGAAAGTAGAAATCAATATATTTTATTTAGAATCGAATTTTAACGCAGAATTATTGTACGAATGGGAAAGTAGAAATCATTAGATTTTATTAGGAAGAGAGATTTATTAGGAATTGGGCGGGAGGTTAAAATTTCAGGATTTTGTTTTTATATATAGTATAGATTGATAAACCGGCTTAATTGGTAAGGCAAAGATGTAGTTTTTATTTCAAAGGTTAATGGATAAAAACCTTTTAATGATGCTTTCAAAGTATTTATAACTACACTTTTATGTATTTTTTGTGAGCTTTATAATAAGTTCTGAATTGTAAACATTATTTAACTTGATTAATTAATTTACATAAAATATATTGTGTGATTCAGTTATGGAAAAAATAAATTAAAAAATAATTTTTTTTATGGACCATCTAGTCAATGTAACTTAGAAGTTTTGATTATGTGTTATCATATTCAAATTATTCTAGAAAAAAAAAAACTTAAAACTGATCTAGCTAAAAGAAAAATTATTTATAAATATCATATCAATATAGAAGATGTGTGGTTTATAATGTGTTTTCTATTCCAACCATTTTTATCCAATTAATTATGTTTCATATTTTGTTATGAATAATTTTTATAGCGTTTTGAAATATTTTAATTTCTAGCTCCGCTCATATATGTTTGTAAGTTTTGTTTAAATTTTTATTAATAATTAATTTATTACTTATTATGATAACAATGTTATTGTTTGTAAACTTATATGATTTTAAATTGTTTATTCGTTTTTATAAACTATATTTATTTATTTATGAAGACATTGATGATGTAGTTATTGATTATTTTATATTTATAAAAACACATATAAATTTTTTCATGATTATTGTTGTGTATGTAAAAATTTTATATAATTTTCTTAATTAAACATTTTTTAATGAGCCATTTAGTGCAACACATTAATACACATATACATCATGTACTTTCTTTTTCCTCAACTTGATTTTTTCCATTAAGTTTTTCTAGCAATGTTTTCAACCAAGGCAGGAGTATGATATCGTAATATCTAAAGGAAATGGTGTAAATAAATAAATGTGAACATTACTATCAGACTTATATTATGATTATACATGAATTATATGTTTGTATATATTGGATTAAAGAATAAATAATAAAAAATTGAAGGTTCTCTATTTACTATTGTCTTTTTTTTTTTTTTTTTTTTTTTCACTTTATTCTATATTACAATGTATATTACATTCTTGAATGAGAAGAATACAAGAATTCACACAAAGAAACTCCTAAATTTATAACACACATTACCATTGTCAATCTAAATCCTACCCCTCAATTATACCAAAAAATTATGACACCTTTTCACATTTAATGAATGCATCAAAATGAAGGACCAGAAGGTGATCCTCGACTAGAATTCCTAGTACTAGTGGGTGAAATCCTAAGCAAAACATCAAGAACTTCCTTCATATTTGGGCGAAAATGCGGCGTCTCGGCCGTGCACCAAATCCCAATCCTCAACAACTCGCACATTTGCTCCGCCCCCTCTGCCAACCCCGACACTAAGAGAGCCACGGGCGGCGATGCTCGGCTAAATCCTTGCCGGCCATCGCCCATCACTCTTCGCGCCCATTCTAGTAAGCACTCTTCCCCTCCGTCCACGGCCCGTCTAGCCGTGGCCAGTTCCATGGCCAGCACGCCGAAGCTATACACATCCCCTTTTGTCGTGGCTTTCCACGTTTGTCCATACTCCGGTGCCACGTATCCGATGGTCCCTGCCACGACGGTACTGATGTGGGTCTTGGCCACGTCCATGATTCTAGCCAAGCCAAAATCCGTGACCCGTGCCCGTCCCGCCTTATCAAGGAGCACGTTGCTAGCCTTGACGTCTCTATGAATAATGCAAGGGTAACACTCATGGTGCAAAAACACCAAGGCCTTTGCTACATCTATTGCAATGTTTAGACGGTTTCGCCATGGCAATGAAACCCTATCTGTTATGATATTGTCTAAACTCCCACCTTCCATGTATTGATAAACCAGCAATTTCTCAGCCCCATCGAGGCACCACCCATAGAGCATCACGAGATTAGGGTGAGGCCATCCGAAACCATTTCCACTCAAAACTTCCATTTCCGCCATGAATTCTCTTTCCCCTTCAACGCCTTCTCTCTGGAGCTTCTTCACCGCCACTTCTCTCCCGTCCGGCAACACTCCTCGGTACACCGTCCCGCACCCTCCCCGACCAATGATCCTGTCGTCCGAGAAACCCCTCGTCGCTTTTAAGATATCCGAGTGGGTGAACGATGTTTTTCCCAACCGGATAACCTTAACATCATCGTCTGAGGATACCCATTGCGACGAGGAAGAGGCCGAGGCCTCCAAGAAGTACCCCGGAGAATCCTTTGGCGGTTTCACGGCGAGGCAGACAACAAGGATAAGAAGTCCACAAACCAGAGAAGCAGACACCAGTGCGGCAAACACCAAAACCGCGCTGGTTTTCGTTTGCTTCTTGGGATTTTCTGGTTTGGGTTTACCGTTTGTAGAGGTGTTGATGAAGGAAGGAAGGCGCAGCAAAGGGTCTCCGAGGAACGACCAATTGTCGAAGGTTGCTATCTGGCCGGTCGCCGGGATTTCCCCGAAGATGTCCGGGTTGTAAGAGATGTTGAACTTGTTGAGATCGGTTAAGTTGTTGAGGGTAGTGGGAAATGCGCCATTGAAAGCGTTGTAAGATAAATCAAGATTCTGGAGGCACTTGATGTTCCCAATTTGAGGAGGAATTTTCCCAGAAAAATTGTTCTGGGTGAGATTGAGTACTATTAATGGCATTCCTCCAATCTGTGCTGGCAAATTTCCATGGAAATTATTGTCCCCAAGATGGAGCATACTGAAATTCCTCATTTTTCCGATCTCCGGTGGTACCAAACCGGAGAATTTGTTGCCGGAAAGTTGTACATAGCCTGTTATTTGATAGGTACGGATAGTAGAGCCAAGTTCACAAACTGGAAAAATTCCAGCCCCTTTAAGCAGCATATCCCAAAGGTTTCTGCAATTTTTTCTGGTTAGCAGGGGATATACAAAGCTGAAAGGGGGATAATCAGCAAATATCCATCTCTTCATGGCCAGGCACTCCCCGGATCCGGGTGTGATCTTGTCTTTAGCCCGGTTTAACTCGAACGTTGGCATTGGGTTGGCTCCGATGTTTGCTAGCTCGGGAGGGATTGAACCAGAAAGGTTGTTACTCGCGAGGTTTAGCCATAATAAGCTGCTGCAGTTGCCCAGCTCGGGTGGGATTTCGCTCGTGAGCGAGTTGTTTGCCAGCATTAGCCACAGGAGTGAAGTTAGCCTTCCTAGGCTTGGAGGGATGGATCCGTTTAGGGCGTTGGACGAGAGATCGAGGGCTTGAAGGCCCGGGAAATTACCATATTCAGAAGGTATGGGACCTGTGAATTGGTTGAAAGCAAGAACCAGGAACTTCAAATTTGTCATTTTGGAGATCTCAACAGGCAATGGACCGGAGAAATCGTTGTAGCTCAAGTCCAACCGCGAGAGGTTCACGAGCTCGGTGATTCTAGATGTGACGATCCCTCCGGTGTAGCCATTTCCATGTAACAGAAGGAACCGGACCTGCTTAAATTCCCCGAAAATTTCTTGAATTTCACCCCCAAAGCTGTTGTTGCTTAGGTCCAGGAACACTAATTTGGGCAGGCTGGTTAAAGTGTTTGGAATGTGTCTCAAAAAGTTGTTGCCTCCTAAGTACAATCCCTCAAGGCTCTCAAGTGACCCAATTTCACTAGGAATTGGCCCTGAAAAGTTGTTACCAGACAGGTTTATCATACTTAGATCCTTACAATTGGACACCTCCTTAGGCACTTCGCCAAAGAATTTATTCTCAGACAAATCCAGAGATTCCAGGCTGCAACTTTGGTTGAAAACCCACCAGGGCAACCCGCCAGACATATGATTTTGAGCCACTGAAAGCTCTTTCAGATTATCAAACCCGAACAACAACAAATCCCCACTCAAACTATTTGAGCTCAGATCAAGATACCTAAGATTCCCACATTTTTCCAGGGCATTTCCCATCTCTCCGGTGAAGTTATTGCCGGAAATATTCGCCACCACCAAACCGTCACACCTTCCGGGGAAAGCCAGCCCGGCATCCCCGTGAAACCGGTTCAACGACACGTCTAGAACCTCCAAGCTCTCCAGCCCACTCAGATGGAGCTCCCCATCAATGATGTTATGTGACAGGTTCAAGAATCTTAAGCTGTGGCACTTGCCCAGGTCCTCTGGGATGACCCCGCCAATCGTGTTGCTGGACAGGTCCAGATAGGTTAAGCTGGTTAGGGCAGAGAAGTTGTGGAACATGTTTCCGGTCAGGTAGTCGCCGGAGAGGTTTAGTCCGGTGACTCTCCCCCCGGAGCAGAAAACTCCGGGCCAATTGCAGGGTGACAAATCTGTTGAATTCCATTTTGTGCATCTTGATCCTCTGTTAACAGCGCTCTGATTCTCAATATATGATTTCAGGTTCATCAAAACATCCTTGTCTGTCTCCAAGGAATCTCCACTCACAAGCCCCCCTATGATTTTCCAAAAATATTTTTTTTTTAAAAATGTGTCAGTCCAATAGATTCCTTAAACTCTTCAAGTCAACTCAACACAATCTTCCTCAAAAAACACAAAAATCATAAAAATAACAGAAAAATCAGTAAAAGTACCTGTAAGGGCTGTAACAATCAAGAAAAAGAAACTGAAAACTGGGACGAGACAAAGATTTTCAACAGTTTTCTGTTGTGACATGATCTGTATAAACCATCCACCCGCCAATCTGCTCTTTAATTTGGGGTTGTTCTTGAGTTTCGTCTGGTTAAGGTAGCATGATGATTTGAGAATGTTAAAAGAGAAAAACCAAAAAAATGGAGAAGAATATTATGAGAAATGAGAAGTGGGAAACTAGGAAAATGTGGGTGAATTTCAGATGGCCTGCAATATGGACCAAACCACACGGAAGAAAAATGCACGTGCCTACTAATATTATATATATATATATATATATATATATATATATATATATATATATTTTTTTTTTACAGTTATCAGCTAATTCAACAATTAATTTTATCAAATAGAACTTATAATTTATTCGATAAGAGATGAATGATTAGTATTCATCTTTTCAAAAAAAAAAAATATATTAATTTTTAATAAGTTTAATTTACTTGGTTCTTTTAGTGCTTCTCATGAGTGCATAGATGTAATAAAATTTGAATTCAAGTTAATTTATCATCTGAAAAAAAAAAAAATTTGTCATCATCTAATTATATCTTAATCTTGAACTTAATTTATTTAGAGGTAGTCCAAAGTTGACCATTTTCTGTACTGTTTAGCTTTACGGAGACGGGCAGGATTTGATTTTGATTTTTGAATATTTGTTGGTCAAACGTTGTTGTTGGTCTTCATTTTTCTCCTGAACCTTCCTATGCGCGTCTCATATTTTTTCTTAATATTATTCTCAAAAAGTTGGATTCTCAACTCCAAGGGCCCCCTACACTTTCAGTCGAATAGAACATCTAGAAGGATGTAAATCATAGTAATTGAGCTGAATTATAGAGGTTAAACTTTTGCTTACTGTGCATAAGGAGCCCTCCTCACTTTAAGAGGTTGTTCCCACACTGTCGCTAGTGAGACTTAATCACTAGTCATTCTTCACAAATTTCACCCGACCAACTGAGATGTTCATGCGAGGAGAGATATGTCAGACTTTGTGATCAAGCGACATAACTGTGGGTCAAAGGTTCAAATTTTAGTGGGGACATTGACAAAAAATACGGACAAGGAGGGGATTAGAGAAAAGGTTACTAAATCAAAAATTTCTTTACACATTTTTTCCATTAATATAAAGTTGATGGTTTACCTTCAAAAGAATAGTACTATACTAACGGAGGGAAAAGCATCTGCTTATAGCTTAAGAAGGAGTTAGATTTTCTTAGTTTGATATTTAAATTAAGTAATTTTAGTCACACAATTATTTTGAGTAATAAATCTAATTTCTCTTTTTCAATTTTTACAAATTAAGTCTATGATTGTTAAGTAAGTTGTAAATTGTACTGTGTCTAAGATTTTATAAGAAAATTGAGAATAAATTAGAAGTTATAAATATATTTGTCTTCATAAAATCTTATGTGCAAATGAAGTTTGATATCTCAGTTAGTCGAACAATTGGATTTGAAACTCGTTTAACAATTAAAGGATTAAATTTGTAAAAATTGAAAGAGAGATACTGATCTAATTAACTACTCAAAAATAACTGAGAAGTCAAAAATATGATTTAAAAATTTCTCAAAACAAAAATTCAACAATACTTGCACAATTAATTGAAACTAGTTGCATTTAAAAAATATAGTCAATGGGAAACTCCAAATCGAACACCATTGGGCAAAACACCTACCTTTGATTTTATATTATTTAATTTGCCTCAATTGTAGGAATCAAATTTATACTCCAACTAATTTCCTCCTTCCAACCTGTCTGAATTAAAAAGTTAAGCCAATAATTAGATTGCAAATTTATGTATAAATATTACATGCTCATTTAATAATTAGACTACATACACATTTATCTCTAAATATTGTATGCTCAAACACACATGATTAGAAGATGCTAACATAAGTTCAACCATATATATGTTATGAAGATAAGGATTTGATATATGATATCTCCACTCTTTTAATGAAAATGAAAACATTGATACGTACAATGTATCAAAATGCATCCATGCGCAGAAAGTGGTCAAAGGAAAATGAAATATTCTTCCAACGGGTGGTTGAGATCCATTTTACAGATTTTTTTTTTTTTTTTTTTCTAATGACGATGCAAATAAGGCATGTGAATTCCAAACATTCTTTACTTGGAAAGTAAAGCAATAGCTGAGATTGAGGGGAAGCCTCATCAATGAAGTTGTGATAGGGGAGGATCATCTTTGCCTATAACTCTCCAACGGTTGTAGTGCAAAATTCAGCTAAGGGTGTATTTGAAAACCTGGATCATTTTCTGAGATTCCAGTGTTTGGATGTGTCTGGAAAATTAAGTCAACGGAAATCATTTTTCGTTGACTTTGAAAATATGCTTGTTTTGGAGGAAAATAACTTTCCTTTTTTTTTTTGAGAAGTCATTTTCCAACTTTTACACCAACATCACACCACGTACCACCGCTACCCCGCCACCGCCACCACCATACCACCGCAATCACCACCACTACCACCATCAACACCATACCACCACCACCTCACCACCACCATCGCCACCATCAACACCATACCACCACCATCATCACCACCACCAGTACAAGACCACACTACCACCACAACCGCCACCGCTACCGCCACTGCCACCACCGCAATACCACTAGTGGTGGCCTTCTCAACTGGAGCTGGGTTTCCTTCTCCGACGAGAAGGCAACCCAAATTGGGTTGCCTTCTCGTCAGGCCTTCTCTGGTCGAGAAGGCTACCACTGTGGTGGCCTTCTCAACGGAGAAGGCACCCCAGATCTTGGTTGCCTTATCAGGGAGGTATAGCCTTCTTCGTGATCGGCGACCGTTCGACGTTCGTCGGTCACTGGTCACCGATCACTGTTTTGCACGAAAATATGTCGAAAAGTGGTCGGATATGCAATGACCTATGATAGTAGGTCATTTACTTGTATTTGGACTTCATTGCATCAAAATGCATTGTTCATGGATTTAATTGCTTCTTTACAAAGTTGGAGGGGCTAATTCACTTTTGAGCAATAGTTTAAGACCCTATTTGACCATTTTCCCATACAATTATATATGTATATACGAAACATGAGATTTTTATGGGCACAATGCATTGTGCGCCCCGTGCACGATATAACAATTGGTTGGGAGTTGGGACCCATCAATATGCATGCATGCATTTATGCATATATACATAATTTGTTAACATTGGTGTCAACGGCATACATAATTGTATCATATGGAATTTGATATTAGTGTTTATTGATATCTTATATGAAATTTATATAATTAATGTGATTATTGTATGGTTAGAGGTTTTACATGCAAGACATTATATTAATTATTATCATTTTGATTGCCTCATTATGGAATTAAATTAAAAAAAAAAAATGACAATGACATGTACGCACGTGTGATCTCTACTGAGGTCAAGTTCATGGTTGTCAATGTCTTTATGTCACTTATGGTGGGGATAATTAAATAAAATATTAGAATATATAGATAAACACTCCGTATTTTTTTTTTTTTTTGAGAAATATTCCGTATTTTTTAAAAGAAAAATAGGAATAAGGGTCAAATAGGAATAGGTAGTTTAGTTTTTTTTTTTTTAATTTTAATTTTAATTAATTATTTTAAAAATCATTTTTAATCGGTAATCGCTTTTTCAGGTAAACAGGTCATTTTGGACCTAATTGCATGATTTTGTGTTGTTTAGGGACTCAATTGCATTGTTTTTAAGTTCGATGGGCTAATTGTAGTTAGGTGTGCAGTTGAGTGGCCTATTTAACCTTTATTCCAAAAATATATATATATACAAAGGAAGGGAAGGTTTGTCTACCGTCTACACTATGAACTTTCTTAAAGTCCTGAAGCACAAAAAGAGTCATTGTCCCCACACTAAGGTTGAAACCTGAAATCTCTCATTGAAGGGGTCAAAGCTATACCACTCAACCACAAGGCATTTAGCATATACACTCAAGTTAATAGTAAATTATTTGACATAATTTAATGTTCAAATTTTTTGATAAGAAAATATTGTTGGTATTCCATTGGTAGAAAACAAATAATAATCCCAATAAAATAAGATTATTATTTTTCTGGTAAAAAGGGAAGGAAAGATGAAGAGATTGACTTTGTGTTTGGTGTTGAGTTTTTAGCAAAAGTCAAGCGATCACTCTTTCTTTAAAACTGTATTTGCCACCTCCCAAAAGTGCTAGGAGCCTTGTGGTCTAGGCTTCCCAGGATAAAATTTGCTACGAATTATGAACACAGTAGGCTTAAGAAAGGAGTAGAAGAACGACATTCGTGCCCGCAGGTGCCGGCGCAATCAAGTCTTCAATAGGCAGTATTTGGAAGAAAAGACCAATTCAAGGTTTGAATCTCAACGGCTGTAGTGTACGGATTATGCTCAAAATGGACAGATCTTTGTGCACACCAGCATTTAATGACCATATCTACTAAGCCATTGAGTAACCGTGATTTACATTTTCTCAAATATTTTGTCGGGTCCTTGGGGTTGGGGAGTCAACTTTTTGAGAGAAGGACAAACCATGGATTATTGAGATAACATACTGATAAACCCGCTCATTATAGCTAGTAGTATTCTTTTGTTATCATGATTACAATTAGCACATGGTAAATAGAAATTTGAAGCAAACTCTTCATGCTAAGCTCTTTACTTTAGGACTCACATTGGTTTGAATCAGCTATAATATACTATAATTTGATAGATTTTTTAATGAAAAATAGTTTTTATAATATTTATTATGTCATTTATGATTATTTTGGGTAAGAATATAACATTAAAATTGTAAAATTATCAAATTTTGTCCTAGAAATTAAAACCAATTGGATACAAATTAAAACATACATACCCAAATGTAACAATGTCAACAAGGTCATTGGAAGGATTCCATCATTGGCTTTGAGTATGAAGCAACTTTAAATCTTCAGGCCAACTCTTTCATTAATAGAGATGTCTACAATTTAATGAGGATTAATCACGGTGTTCGACGGTAGAAATCATGGGCTATACCCCAAAAAAAAAATGTGGTGAAACTAAAAGTAAATGTTGCTATATCACAATAGTTATGAGACTAAAAGCAAAATTTTCTCCTTTTTCTTTTTCTAAATAATAAAAATTTTGTTGTCACCAAATTAAATTTCATATTATAAATTAAAATTCAACATAAAACATATAATAAATAAGGTTTGCTTTGTCAACCTATTGAAGCACAAAGAGTCTGTAATACTCAAAAAAAAAAAAT